CCGACTCATAGCGACCCCTCCTTGGGTTTCCTAGGCAGTATCACTACTGAAGAAGGATTGCTCAACCTTCCTTCCGAGGAGTGGCTGGTGGGTTTGAACCGCCAGCCTTCTGGTTAGCAGTCAAGTGCCTTAGGCACTATGCTACCAGAGCTCCTATAGGACAGAGTATTTTCTAGGCTGTAATCTTTACAGGGGGAGCTCTAGTGGCGTAGTGCCTAAGGCTAATCAGAAGGCTGGCAGTTCAAACCCACAAGCCATTCCTCAGAAGGAAGGGTGGGCAATCTACCTCCATAGACATACCGCCTCGGAAACCCAAGAAGGGGTCACTATGAGTCAGATCTGACTCCACAGCATTGTGTTGCATTGTTGTGTTAATCTTTATAGGAGCACACTGCTTGGGTCTCCAATGCTGAAGTCCAATGAAATAACTTTCTGATACAGGAGACTTGATCAAAAGATACATTTTAGAGTGAAACAGGAAAACTGAGTATCATGCAAGGACTCCTTCATAAAAATTATAAACTACAGATCTAACTAATCATCAGAGTGATTATCTTAGAATTGTTTTTTGTTCATTTTTCAATATACAATTTCACATGCCAGGTCCTGTGATTGGTGTGGAATACCAAGGTGAACAATATGTGCCTGTCTTCAGGACGCTAGCTCAAGTCTATCAAGAGAAATAGACAAGGAATCTGGCAGAAGCTTTACGGAGAAGAGAATTCTGGGGTGGGGAGCAATCCTGATTGAGGCAGGGAAGGGTGGGCAGGATGAGAGGAATACACAGGTCATTAACAAATCTCATATTTTACACATCTCAATCTTGTATAGGAGATCTGGTGGTGCAGTTGTTAAGGCATTTGGCTGCTAACCAAAAGGTCAGTGGTTTAAACCCACCAGCTGCTCTGCAGAAGAAAGATGAGGCAATCTGCTTCCATAAAGGTTTGCAGACTTGGCAACCCAATGAGGGTAGCTATGAGTCACACTCGACTTGATGGTTTTTTGGTTTAATCTTATATAGAAATAGAACTTTGCAAAAGTTCCCTTGCACATCTCATTTAATATGACCACCTTATGACAAGGCAGAAATTCCCATTTTATAGCTATAACAACTGAGGCTTGGAGAATGTTTTGGTTACTTGGTGCTGCTCTAACAGAAAATACCGCAAATGCGATGGCTTGAACAAACAGTTTTATTCTCTTACAATTTTGGAGGCTAGAAGTCTGAATTCAAAGTGCCAGGCACTAGGGGCTGGGTGAAAGCCCCTCAACTTTGGGCTTCAGCTCTGCCTCCTGCTCCCGGCCCACTGAAGCTGGAGACATTTCTTCACTCAGGCAGCTGTTGGCTGTTGAAGCTGACAAACCCAAGGCTGACAAGAAAAAAGGCACAGTCCTGATATTACCAAACATGGCAGGCCACTAATTCAAGTCTAGAAAAAGTCCCAAGATCAGCAGGGCATGGCAGACTGCTGAACAACAACTTGGCTACGTGCAGGGTTCAAGCATACCAAAAAGCTGCAGACCATTCCCAAATCTTCTTCTTACACACTGGAAGCAGACCACACCCCTAAAGCAGCTACTCAGCTGCTCCAGTAGATTCCACCATGGAATTGATTGCCAGTCTCACCACAGGGAATAACTACATCCAGCTGCTCAGCCACTCAACCAAGCCCAGCCAAGTTGACACACAACTCTACCTACCAGAGAGGTTGACTTCTCACACTGGTAAACTGTAAAACAACAATCTTTGTTGTTGGTGGTGGTGTGTTGTTGTTATGCACCATTGAGTCAGACCCAACTCATAGTGACCCCTCCTTGGGTTTCCGAGGCAGTATCGCTACAGAAGTAGATTGTCCAACCTTCCTTCCAAGGAGTAGCTGGTGGGTTTGAACCGCCAGCCTTCTGATTAGCAGTGAAATGCCTTAGGCACTACGGTACCCTCAAGTCAATTTTTGTCTTAGTGACCCCATAGGATAGAGTAGAATTGTCCCATAGGGTTTCCTAGGCTATAATCTTCACAGGAGTGAATCATCAAGTCTTTCTCCTGTGGAGCTGCTGGGCAAGTTTGAACCACCAACTTTCAGTTAACAGACAAGTGTTCAGCCATTGCACCACCATTGCTCTCATAAAGCAATGCCTTTTAGCACCCAGGAAAGCTCTGTCTCCACACCACAGTTGCTCCAGGAAGTTTTTATGTGGTGTTGAGGCCAGCTCAGTGGCAGGAATCACAGGAGTGCACTTTCAAAGAACCCAGACATTAGCCCACCCATGAACATTAGGCCTGGCCAGCTCGTATCTACAGAAAATAGCACTTAATAACAATTACTTTTAACTTGCTGAATGATCTCTCACAGCTGGTGATGGAAACTGCAGTGGTAACTAGAAACTGTTCATTAGTGTCCCATTCAAGTGGCACCCAGGGCACATGCCATTCCTGCCATACTCTAGATATGACTCTAGGCCTCATGGACAGGGTCAGGCAACCTGTGCCCTTGACAATCCACTCCCTCCCAGGGAGTGAATCTCAAGGCCTTTATACTGTTCTCTCAGAAGAATTTCTTTCCTGCGGGTTCTCCCCTGTGTTAGGGTCTCTAGTCCTGACCACCCATCACAGAAGGGCTCTACTAATTGCAGCCTACCCTCCTTTGTGTTTTAGCATCTTGCTTCCACTCCTGCACCATGAAAATCCTGCTGTGTGACCTCCTGCTGCTCAGCCTCTTCTCCAGTGTGTTCAGCAATTGTCAGAGGGACTGTCTGACCTGCAGAGAGAGGCTGCGCCCAGCTTTTGATAGCTTTGACCTAGAGGTAAGTGCCAGAGGCATGAAAAACCAGACCTTCTGCCAGTTCATCTCCACCTTCCCCTTCTAGACTCTGAATAAGTGAGCCCCCACCACCCGTTGAGAGGTCACATGATTTTCCCATTGTCACAGGGCCCCAATAAGAAACAGATCAGGACTGCATCTCCCATTTTCTGACCACAAACTCTGTGATCTTTCCACTTGACCACATTTAAACATATATTGCCCATATTGTCATTTTGTTCCACTATGGAAATAAGGCATACTCATTTTAGAGACTGACAAATTCAGAGAAGTACAAAACAATTGAAATCATCTTTAATCCTACCAGCAGTGTTGGATTACCCAATGAGCAAGGTAAGCCCTTACCAGACTAGTAAATAAGCACAAGTATAACTGTGCTTACCTTGTTTATTGGGTAATCTGCTCCTGCCCACCAGTCAGAGAAAGAATCCTATTTTTTTCCCTTAATACTATACTAGGATAATTTTCTTATGTTATTAAATATTATTTTTAAATAGTTCTTTCTATAAATATAATTTATTCTACAATGAATATGCAGGTATTTAAATGCCCTCTTAAATTTTTAAATTTCAAATTTGAGGTGCAAATCTGTTGTTAAACTTTTCCTAATTGAATAAATTTCTTTGCTAACTACTTTAATTTCAGTCTATGTAATCATTCTCCTGTTAAATCTAGACCAACTCAATTATTTTTCCTTTGTATGTAAATAAGCATCTTTCAAAAGATGGCACGTTTCAAACCCCTCAACCTTTAAAAAAAAAAAAAAAAACAGCAAAAAGGAATTGCTGTTACTAAAGCAAATGTACAAATACAGAAACCAAGTATTCTTGTACTCAGGCACGATGCGTCTCCCAGCTCCCAATAACAGACATACCCTGACGAACCAAAGCATGCCAAAATCTTCCTACCTAGCTCAGTGGTTTTTTAACTTGTTTTCTGAACAGTTAAATCATGAAAAGCATCCCTAATAGCCCAAACTGTATTCATTCATCATGGTTTGTTTGTTTATTTATTTATCTATTTGTTTGTTTGTTTACTTATTTATTTATTTTTATGAGCACCTGCTATGTAAGTCCCTGGATGGCATGAACAGTTAAGCACTCGACTACTATCTGAAAGGTTGGTGGTTCAAACCCACCCAGAGGAACTTTTGAAGAAAGACCTGGTAATCGACTTCTGAAACTTCACAGCCATGAAAAGCCCATAGAGAACAGTTTCTACTCTACACGCATGGGGTCACAATGAGTTGGAATCTACTCAATGAAAACTAGTTTTAGGGGTTTTTTGTTTTGGGTTTTTGTTGGTTGGTTGGTTGGTTGGTGTGTTGAGCACTGTGCTAGGCCTAGAGATCCAATGTAAGCAGATGGGTGGAGTTTGCAACTACCAGAGAGAACACACAACCCCTCATGCTAGAGTAATCACAGGTGCTGGGCAAGCACAGAGCAGTGGACCCCAACTAGTCTAGAAAAGCAAAGGGACTAAAGTCTATACTGGACCTGAAGATGAAAGAAAGTGAAGGGACAGGGCAGTGTGCCTTGGGTAGCCCAGGTGATGGAGGACAGGTGGGATTGAGGGACATGTGCAAAAGCCTATAGGACAGAGACTGGGGGCCATTTAAAGGGCTGAGAAAAGCTGACTTGTCCAGAGCACAGAAGTTCCGAAATGCGTTTTCTATGCAGAAGCCCAAAGCTATTTCTTGGTACCTCTTCAGATTGGCAGTTTTGGTTCTCTTGTGCCGCTCTAACAGAAAATACCACAAATAGGTGACTTTAACAAATAGGAGTTTACTCCCTTACAGTTCTGGAGGCTAGAAGTCCAAGTTCAAAATGCCAGGCTCTAGGGGCTGGGTGAAAACCCCTCAACCTTGGGCTTCAGCTCTACCTCTTGCTCCCAGCCCACTGAAGCTACAGGCTTTTCTTCACTCGGGCAGCTACTAGATGTTGAGCCTGACAAAACTAAGGTTGACAAGTAAAAAGGCACAGTCTCAAGATTGCCAAACCACACAGCAGGCTACTGATTCAGGTCCATTAGCAATCCCAAGATTGGCAGACAACATGGTAGGATTACAGTGTACCAAAAGCTGTAGACCTTTCTCAATGCTTCTCCTTCTATACTAGAAATAGACCACATCCCTAAGGCAGCTACTCAGCTGCTCCAGTAGATTCCACCATGGAGTTGATTACCAATCTCACCATGGGGAATAACTACATCCAGATGCATGGCCACTCAAAACTAGACCCAGCTAAGTTGACATATAACCTTAACTACCACATTGGTCTAAACAAACCAAAAACCAAACTCACTGCCATCAAGTCTGACCCCTCCTTGGGTTTCCAAGGTGGTATCACTACGGAAGTAGATTGCCCAACCTTCCTTCCAGGAGTGGCTGGTGGTTTCCACCAGCCTTCTGGTTAGCAGTCAAATGCCATTGGCACTATGCCACCAGAGCAGTTTAAAAGTTTATCTAAAAACATTTACTCTTGTCCTTAGTAAACAGAGCAGACAACTAGTTTGCATATAAGCCAGTTAAGGAGTTGATTAAGCCATTATTTCATAATTGCCACACTATTAATATTCTTAGGTTGCAGCATAGATATGACTGAAGGTATGCACAAATACCTGAACCACTAGCTTTCCTGTAACCCTTATCTCCTACTCAAAAAAAAGCATTAGGAACTTAACTGTAGAGATAATACTAAATCTGCTTTAATGTATTTTTTACAAACAAAATAAAAATACCTAAATAGGTGATTTGTTTGTAACAAATATCACCTGACTGTAAAACACTAATGTGCCTTCCCACCCTCTTAGACACCACCACCTTGGGTTGCCCCATGCTGATAAGATGGATTCCAACTCCACTCAGAAAGAAATTAGTGCAGGAGATCCTGGATAGCATGGGAAAACAATTTGAAACAAAACTCAAAATCATAAAAAAAGACCAAGTTTACTGGTCTGACAGAGCCTGGTGAGACCCCCAAGGCTATGGCCCCTAGTTACCCTTCAGGTCTGGAACTGAACTCACTCCTGTGGCTTCCAGCCAAACAATAGATAGGCCTATGGGGTGAACGTTTACATCAGGTAGCTACACTCCTTGGAGCAATCAATCATGGGAGAACAGAAGGGCAGTGTTTGCACAGGGAGATAGCTGGGGGTCTTAATTACCAAATTCCATGGGCTGGTTTTTTGAGTTCCTCCTAGTTTTCCTCTGTGCAGTATTTGACCATGCTGATTCCCTGCTCCTTCAGAAAACCCCATCCTTTGGTGAATTTGCCTGTCTCCTTCCTGCCTCTGGCTCTCTTTCCTTGCATCTTGTGTTGGTTTCCGTTCTTCTCTCCACCCCCTAGGCATAAGTGATTGCCAAGATTCCCTGCTTCTTTCCTCAATGTATTCTCTGCCTTTGAGGTTCCATCCACACAGCCCATGCCTTCAGTTCTCCTCAGTCTGCAAGTAACTTCCAGATATACACTCCCAACTTATACACTCTACTGGGTTCCAGACCCACATTCCCACTTGTTTTCTGTTTTTGTTACTGTTAGTTGCCATGACTCCAACTCATGGTCACCCCATGTAAAACAAAACACAACATTACCCGATCCCACACCATTTTCAGGATCATTGATATGCTTGAATCCTTTCTTGCAACCCCTGTGTATTTTGAGTGGCTTCCAACCTGGGTACCCATCTTCCAACTCAGTATCAGATAATATTCTGGTGATCCATAGCATTTTCACTGGTTAATTTTCAGAAGTAGTTCTCCAGGCCTTTCTTCCTAGTCTATCTTAGTCTGGAAGCTCCACTCTAAAACTGACCACCGTGGGTAACTCTGCTAGTATTTGAAACACTAGTGACATAGATTCCAGCACCACAACAACACATAAGCCACCAATAGTACAACAAACTGACAGATGGGTCAGTTACTAAACCTTACTGGCTCTTACTGACCTTACTACTCTAGGAACAAGCCTTGCCATTTTTACCCATGCCTTTCCCTCCTCCCCAGTCTAATAAATCCTATACTACCTCAAAACTTAGATTATATTTCACCTCTTAAGAGAAAATGTTTTCCATTCTTACCTGCCCCAAACAGAGTTGGCTGCTCCCTCCTTTATGCTCTGACAAACCAAAAAACGAAACCCACCACCGAGTCAATTCTGACTCATAGTGAGCTCCATTGGGTTTCCAAGGTGGAAAATCTTTACGGAAGTAGATTGCCCAGTGTTCTTTCTGTGGAGGGGCAGGTAGCTTTGAACCACCAACCTTCTGGTTAGCAGTCAAATGCCTTAGGCACTGAGCCACTGTCCTTTGACAGTTCTTTGTATTTGCAGGTCTTTCTCTCATCTTCCTTGTCATATTCCTCTGAGTGTCCCCAGCACATAGCACAGTAGAGCAGTGCTCAATAAATATGTCCTGTGGAAATTGTAAAATAGTCATATTTAATCTCTTATCAGGCCTAGCCATTGCAGATACTGTAGTTTTCACATTTGAGTCTTTCAATTCAGTGAAAAATTTGGAGCATATATCCATTTCTCCATAGCATCTTAAATCTCTGAGGTCCAAACAACCTTGTTGGTCTTATTTGTTTGAAACAAATCAGAAAATGGACCAGTTATAGCCTCATCATGAGAGATGAAATCCTTCACAGTGCCAACTAATCATCCAAAGGACTTGGCTCCTTGGTTGTTTTTGTTCCTAGTTTGTATTCAGTTTTAAACTATTTTAAGATTTTTAAGGAAATACCTAGAAAAATGTAAAAAACCACATCTGATTTCCAAATCTCACAACCCTTGAGTATGTCCATGCTATGAATGGCAGAGGTGACTCAGATATTTTGTCAAGGACTACCTCCCCAAACCCCCCTCAGAATTACATAATCCTAAACTATTTCCAAGGAGCTCTGGTAGCATAGTGCCTAAGACACTTGACTGCTAACCAGAAGGCTGGCGGTTCAAACCCACCAGCCACTCCTCGGAAGGAAGGTTG